TCTTCTTTTCTTCTAAGGGAGTGGTGAGGGACCCTGTCCGACACTCCCCAGCAAACCAGTTGTATTATTACCTATTCCCCAGTATGCAGAGACAGTATTTCTCAGGCTTCGCTGGCAGGCAGCAGATAATAGTTTCACCAAATCACAGCTTGGACAAAAAAAACCCAACAAAGCCCAAAACAAAACCAAAGGAGAAACCCACTTATTTCTGAAGTCAAAAGCAAAATGAAACAATTCCCAGAAAGCTACAGCCTTGCAGGACCACAAACAAGTTTGAAAAGCTCTTTCGCTGCGTTTAAAGCGTTCGCCTGGAGACAAGTGGACTTTCCTTGAACCAGAAACGAATAAAAGACTATTGCCTTAAAATATTTAGACTGTTGCAGATTTCAGAGCTGTTTGTCTTTCTAAAAATGAGCTGCTTGGGGTGTTGCTGAGGAGGAAGTTGCCGTTGTGACACCGGATTAGCAGCGGGACTAACCAATCATCAGGTTGAGCCCCGTCGAGACCACCTGCTTCTGTCTCACGGCAGAGCGGGGTGACTGAGCTAGCGCCACACATCAGGCTAAAGAGGAAGCCTGCTGGCATTTGTTTTTTGGTAAAAAAGAAGAAAATAATCTCTGGACTTCACTGCCCTCACACGCAGGAAGGCCGGCATTTGGTGAGGCTGGCAGCTGACCCCCCGCAAGCCCTGCCTGTGCTCTGCAGCGTTTACATTGGCCGGTGCTGCCTCAGCCTTCCCTTTTCTATCCATCAAGGAAGCGATGCCGGTGTCTCCATCCGATTTTGTAGGCTTAATTAATATTCACTGAGCAATATGCCTAAGTGCTGAGTAACGTTTGGATGTATTATTAGTTCCCGGAGAACACCGGAAGGCTGCTCGAGAGCCGTCAGCGCCCACTCCCGCAATCACAGCAAAGCAGTCACACGGGAGATGCCCACGCGGTCCCAGCGGAGGATGGGGGCTGGCTGCCTGCGACCCCTCGGCACGGGACGGGGGCAGGTCCCATGCACGTGCCGGTCAGTGCCCCTCCCTCCCAAAGGCTGCTGCAGTCCTGATACTAAAATTCCTTGTTTTCCGCTAAGGGAGGAGCAAAACGAGCTCCCCGGAGCTCTGCTCAGCCCTCGTCTGATGCAGGAGGTGGGGGTGAAAATTGTCTTTCGAAACAACTATTAAAGGCTCATTGTGCTAAAAAGGAAGGTTTCAAACTTCTCCCTCCATTAGGCCATGTTTTCTTCAAAAATTCCCATTGGATTTCCCTCAGCCTTACAGGGAAAAGGAGGAAGGGGAAACCCTGAGCTTTTACAACACTGCTCACTGCCGGTTCCCAGCGCTCAGTCGCTCTGCGTCTCCCTGAGGTGGGGACTACACCACCTGGCCAGCGTTTTGACTTGAGGAGCCTGAAGGAGCCCAAGCATGCTCAGCATAGGGCCAGGGGTAGCCGGGTGGGTGCGGTACCCGCCATCCTTCATTTTCGGTCGGTGAAATTACTGACCGTCCTGGTTGGCTGGGTCTACGTAACTGGTGATGGCACACCGCGATGAGGAAAGGGCGGGAAGGGTGCCCACAGCTCTGGAGCGCACGGGTGATGCCACCGGTGAAGGACAGCGTCTGGCAAACGCATGGCATCGTACGCCGTACGTCACCTACAACAGAGGTGCTGCCTGGCAGCACCGTTGCTCCCACTGGTTTCATCGCCCTAACTCCAAAGCTTGGCGCAGGGCACGGGAAGGGCTGCCTCCCTCGGGCAGCGAGGGGCACACGGCCAGACGATGACCGTCGGTGGGTTTGGAGACCTACTGCCTTTACATCGGTCTCTTCCATGGTTGTTGCTCTGCCGGGGGTTAAAGTGGGAGCAGGGCCCCTCGTCCTTGAGGCCTTGGCGCTGGTTTCCTTAGTCTCGTTGCCATTTGCACTGCCCTGTGCTGGGAAGTGAGGGGTACCGTGAGGGCTCTGGAAAGCCCGAACCAACCGAGCCCTGGTACCAGTGACCATGCGCCTGATGTGACGGAAACACGGTGGACCTGGAGAGAGCAGCCAGGGCTCAACTCTCTTCTTAGGAGGGAGAAATGGTTGGCCGCGTCCGTCCGCTAGCGTGAACTACACGCCCCTGGATGAATTTCCAAAGGTTCCATCTTGAAATACACCTGGAAAAAAAGGACTGCATACACAAGGTACAGTATCTCGCGTGATGTATTTCACGTCCCTCGTTTACATGCTGACAACTCTGCCATTTCTAAACAATGTTATCATTCATCTTTCTGATGATTAATCAGCATGAGCTTCCAACACTGTTTATCACACTTTGACGCAGCAATCAGAGAGGCAAGGTGTTACAGGGGTGGTGTTTGTTGGGGTTTGGTTATTGTTTTTTTTTTTTCCAAAAAATCTCACAGTATTTACAAATGCGTATTTGTTTCCTGACAGCATTCTTGGAACTATTCACTCATTCACAGTCAGTCATTATACCAAAAAACATCATTCAGAAACAGGTTTTAAAATACACCCACCTCCGCTGCACAGTACACACAAAACTAGGCTAGAGTCGAGACACTCAATTTTTGAACAAGAACGTGAACTGATTAAGAGGTACAACATTTCCAGGGAAAAAAGGTGCGCCCCTCAAAAAAACAACCAGCTGTTCTCCTGGACCTAAGGAGCTTCCTGGAGGCCCACTGTCAGATTTCCCTTTTACAGCTCAAGTATCTTTTGAGGTGTGTTGCCGTAAACACAACGCTGGCATTGAGGTCCAACCAGTGGTACTGCAACGGGGTGTACCCTGCAGCATTTCCACGCGGACACTGACAAAAATGAGTTACACCAAGTCCTCGCAGGGATCAACATCGGTTTCATGTCTCACAGCCCATCCCCGGAAAAACCCAATGGACCCGATTTAGATCTGATTTCTGCCTGTTTAAACCGAGAATCAGAATGCAGCCTTACACTTTTAGGGTCTTCAGTGCTGGAAGAGGACACTGGGCTCTGTTCACGGTAAGAGCTGAAGTGGCAGGCTGTGGAGGGATTAGCAGGCATTGACTGTATCTATCCTGTTGATTTTCAAACAAAACTTGGCAATTTAGTCATTTGGTTATCCTGTACACTGATAATTTTTTTTTGCTTTAAAAAAGTGCCCCAGTGAATTCATTGAGCCCGGTCCATTAAAGAGCAATGGGGAACTTTGAACAGTAAGTGCTTGTTTTACAGCTACTTGCAAATGCTTCAAAAGCACTAAATTGCCTTTTATACTCAACAGTCTAATAACAAAGACTGATTTTCTTCTTTTTTTTTTTTTCCCCAACTGATTTGATGGTTCACTTGAGCTTTAAAAACACATTACATAAATCTTTACAGGCATTACAGCAGTCTTTTGTCAGGTTTAATTTGGTGGTGGTGGGTTTTTTCCACAGTGTAATCATTCACCCTTAAACTCACTGTACCACACATACCCAGATCATGCTTGACTCTGGATCCACAGGAATAATAAGCCCTAGAGGTTTCTTTTGCACGGGGAGGGACCTAAATCCTTCCGAAGGCAGTTTGTTTCCGAAAGCTCCTGGTTCAGAGGTATGTCAGAAAAAGCGCTGAGCGCTCCCGAGGGTTTGGCTGAAAGCCACAGCCGCCCGAAGAGGAAAGGACACTTGGCAGGATCAGACCCTTATGGCCCTGGTTTAGAGGAGCTTATTTCACAGTGGAAATTTAATGAGCTAAAGAGAACACCTGTCTCATGACCCATCATGGCATACAGCATCCATCCATCCATCTAACCATCCATCCATCCATCCACCCACCCACCCAGCGTGCATCCATGGTATCCATCCACATCACTCCAGGGTGGATCCATGGCTGCGCTGGAGTGAATGAGTAGGGGCAAAATCAGATTTTTTTCAGGGATTTAATATACCTGCCGTGCTGATGCTTTCGGGAGTAAGTCGTCCATTTGATTTAACCATCAGAGGCATTACCTCTGACCACAGCTCCATCCTCTCCTGCTTCATGACTCTGGGCTTGGTAGTCCATGTTGGAATTACTAGGATTATGTGAGCGGGCAGGAGATCCATCAGCGTAGACCCCTCTCCCTGCTGCAGAATGAGGGGAATGTCTGCTCACCAGGCAGGGTTGTAGAGAGCAAGAGCTGGCAGAAAAGCAGTTAAGTGTTGAAAAAACTTCAGAAACACAACTGGATACAAAAAACCCCAAACCTGAGCAGATGATACTGTTTTTCACCAGGAAAAGCAGAGAAGCTGTCAAATGCCAGGCTTCCTCATCCTACTTCCTCCTGACCCCCCTGTGTCCAAGTGCCTTTTCGCTTTCCTCCTGGAGGACTTCTGTCCTTCTCCCCTTTCCCACGCTGGGGTCCACGAGGAAAACCCACCCTGGGGGTGTGCAGGGCTGGGGCCCATTTTGGGGAAAATGAAGAAGGAAAGGTGGAAGGAAGTCGGATGCTCTCCCGCCGATCTGCCTCTCGCAGCATGACAGTCACTCAGCGAAGCGCTCCATCTTTGTGGAACGGGTCGGTATGGAAGGGGCTTGCCTGGTGCTGGAAGGAGAAGGTGGGGCTCTGCAGGTGGTGGAGCCAGGGTGAATCAGAGAGAACCCACTAAATTCCCAGAGGTCTGTCTCCACCCCTGAGCTGCTGGGTGCTGGGAGCCAGGGTGAGCTTCCCAGTTAGAGACGCCGGGGTAAGACGCGTTTGATGCTCATGGATCTCCGCATGCACCCACCAGGAAGTTCTGCGGATAGCCGGCTGGGATTCTGCTCTCCTTGCCAGTGCCGTAAACCTGGAGTAGCGAGCCCGACCTTCCCGGCTGTGTTCAGAGCAGCACAAAACCTGGCTTCTCGTCACAGCTGCGGTGAAAGCAGGATGGGTCAGACACACCCGTGGAGCACGGGGAGGGACTGGGGGGGCAGCACTCTATTAACGAAGCTATTGCTCAGGTGAGGAACCTTAGAAGAGGAGGAGGAGGATGGAGTCGCTGGTGACGCTGACTGACGCTGTTCGGGATCACAGTAGGGAGATCTGGGAGAAGAGGGAGAGCAGAGCGAGCACGAGGGCACAGCTGCTGCGCGGGGGGAGTGCTGCCAAGGGGGCCGTGTTTCGGAGCATGCATTCCACCCTGGACCAGGAGCCATTGTTGGGCAGCGGCTGTATTCCGGCCAGGCTGCACATGATGTTGTAAACATCCACGGATCGTATGGGAGGCGCTCGGAAGTTGGATCGGAAATCTGCAGGGAAAACAGGCGAAGAGAGGAGTTGGCGGTGCCCAGCTCGGGGCTCAGCTCCTGAAACACGGGGCGCTGCGGGGCAACGGAGCTCAGCAAAAATGTTTTAAGTGGTTTCAGGCGGGGGTTTGCATCTGCCCATCGCACAGGTGGGTGAGAACTACTCCGAAAGTACTTCCCAGAGAAAGCACTTTTCATTAATGATTCCAGAACCACAAACAAAAGGAGAATTTACGTGTTTCAGATAGAATTGAAAATTTAGGCCACTCTTGGAAAACAGGGCAAAGGGATTCAAGTTACTGTGCTGGGGTGTCGGAGAGGGGCTGCCCAAATCCCTCCACGTCTCTTTGCTCTGTTTCTCCAGCTGTAAACCAGATGCAGAGCTAGACACCACGGTGTCGAGCCACAGTGAGGAAATCCTGCCATCTATTTGTAATTTTGGGGTGTCGCAGAGTGCCACACTGGGCTCCTGACATGCCGGGGATGCAGGGACAGGGCCGCCGGAGGAGCGGGACAGCAGGGATGGTGGCACCGTACCTGGCCCATACGCGAGGAAGAAGGCTCTCATGTCCATGAGCTCGTTGTCGTAGCCGTGCCAGCCGTTCTGCCAGGCCTCCTTCTTCCCTGTCCCGTTCTCCCAGAAGGGCAGCTTGTCCCTGCTCTGGGAGACACCCGCGGAGCGCGGTTAGTGCCTGCCTGCCGGGCTGTGCGCGGTGTGCCGCGGGGTGCTGTGGTGTGCCACTCCGTGTCACCGCGTGCTCTACCACCCCGTCACCCCCCCGCCTCACCAGCTCACGGAGCAGCCATCTCCCAGCTGAGCCGGGAGGACACCTTTCCGCCTCCCACTCAGCTCAATTTATGCCGTGAGCGTGAAACAGCACAGCCCTCTGTGACACGTGCCAGCAAGGTGGTGTCCCTCTCCGGCTGCGTGCCAGCTCTCCCGCCCAGTGCCAGGCACCGCTGGGGATTTAACGGTGTGTTGTTCTGCCTGACGTGCCCCGCGTGCCGCAGAAGAAGAATCCCTTTTTGCTCTGTTTGACCAGTCAGCCTAAATGATAGGAATATCACCCCTACAATACACTTTCTGATCATTATTATTTCTTCTCCCTGCCTGTTTTAGTATTAAAGCAATGAGGTTCCTTCCAGGGAACACAGGCTCAGAGCTAAGACGGTCCCTCTGTCCCTAGCACAGGCCACTCTCTGTTTTCTCTCCCTGCTCAGTGGATCTGTGCTTTAATAATTTCTCACCATAATTACCATTTTTCCTCGCCTATATGGCACTGAAGCCATACTTCTTCTCCGTGTTAACAGCTCTTACCAGACCACCTACAGTACTGCCATACCCCGGCCCCCTCGGGAGCAGCGGTCCTTAGGGGCTGCTCAATACGTTGGACCAGCCCTCTCTGTGAGCTCCTCTCATCCCATGCTCCCTAGGGATTGCAGCAGTCGTGACACTCCAGATATCCCCAGAACTATGGCAGGAATTACACTCAGACGAAGGACATCAGCTGGCAGTCTGTTAGACCCCTGGCATTAATTTCTCCGATGGTTACAGGGGAGCAGCTACAGTTCCCTAAAGGGGCCAGGTCTCCCACATTCCCACCCCGGGGCGAGTGGTGCTGCAAGCCCTGCAGATGGCAGAGCAGCCTGACCGAGAATCCCTTTCCTTTCACAAACATTTATTCTGTCGGATTCCATTGTCCTTCTCTGCCCGAGAAGAAAACTGACCACGCGCAGGAGCTCTGAGGCTGGCAATGGTGATGGCCGTGAGGTGCAGCTCTTTCCACCACTTCCCACGGGAACCCCTCGAAGTCTCCCTTGTGTTTTTTCATATGTCACAGTCAGCATAGCAGGTCATTGAACAATTTTAGCTGGCAAATTAAATCTCCTTCCTTGTTTCACTGACAGCACTTAGAGCAAGCCAAGAAGAGACGAGACTCCCTCCCCTCTTCCTACCATAGCATCTCCTTACGCTGTGGCCACGCGGATCCCGGGAACGAAGCGTCACTGTGCTGCTCACCATGAGCCAACCTGTACAGCACTCGTTAGCATCAGCCCCAGACAAGCCAAGTCACACCCAATCTGCAGCTGGTTTTGGCATTACCATGGCACTGCCAAAGCTAAACTTCACCACCGGCCTGCCGTGGACCCGGCTGCTTCCCACAGTGCCAAACGCGGGAGGCAGCGTGCCTCTCCATCACCCCCCAGACACCGGAGAGACCTTCTGGCAGCCAGATGCGCAGTCAAAGGCACAGCCATTCCCAGTGCTTTTCCCCTGGGGACTTTTCCCTGCGTGTGCGTGCTCAGAAGCAGCACAGCAGTTGTTCCCTGAAACCTGGGAAAGCCCACCGGGATGGGTGCAGGGGGAGCAGGCAGCCCTGAGGACTAACACCGTTGTGGCACACGGGAAAGCAGCTGGGGGAATTCTGTCTCTAAGGATGGGGACCACTCACTCCTGTGGGGGGAACAAGATAATATTAGCAGGTGAGCTTTGACACGGCGCCACGTGAAATCCCTCCTCATCCTGCTTTAACCGGAATGTGGACGGGCTTTTGGTCCTATGCTCCTTGATTGGAAAAAAACCCAACAATTTTCCACATTTTTCTCTCAAAAAAAATTGTTAAAAAGCCCTTTTTCAAGCAGTTTATAGCTACCCACTAGCTGACGGAGAGGTAAAACACCCCGTGAGCGTGACAGGGAAGAGCTGAACATCCTCTCCTCGGTGGTTTGGGCAGGGAGTATAATAGAAGGCTCAATTATTGCTTTAAAAAATATGACAAGAAACTTCCATTTTCACATCCCATTCACAGATAATGAAAATGTACCCAGGAGAAGGAAAATCTGACAGCGTTAATGAGAGGACATTCTTGGAAATCAGAAACAATGGGACGGAATGGGCAGAGAGACAGAAATAATTACCACAGCAGCAGTGTTTGCTGCACTGTTATTAAGGTTTGTCAGAGTTTCAGCGATTTTTTTAAAGTGCGCTCTTCTTTTTTCCCCCAGAATATGTAAAAATGTTCTGTCTTGAACCTCTGTACAAAAAAGAGTTTAGTTGTAATTTTTAAAACAACATCTCGGCAAAAAATGTTTCGGATTCCTACTTTACGGGTCTGAATCTTAACTCTGGCTTTCCTGTATTCATGTTTTTTTTAACCAGAAATGGGGTGCTCACCCATCTGTACTCCAAAGCAATCAGGGCTTTTTTTTTTTTCTTTTTTAGAGGTGCATTTTTATTCAGCTGTAGAAATTATTATCCTAAAGTCACGTTGGCTAGGGAGAAACGTGGCGGTGTGGAGCATCTTGAGCAAAGCCTGGTGAGCGGCAGGTCTGTCCTGTATTCATGTTTTTTTTAACCAGAAATGGGGTGCTCACCCATCTGTACTCCAAAGCAATCAGGGCTTTTTTTTTTTTCTTTTTTAGAGGTGCATTTTTATTCAGCTGTAGAAATTATTATCCTAAAGTCACGTTGGCTAGGGAGAAACGTGGCGGTGTGGAGCATCTTGAGCAAAGCCTGGTGAGCGGCAGGTCTGAGC